TTATTTTTAAAATGTGTATAGGTAGTATTTATAAAGTTTTAGCTTTTAGTTTTGGATCTGTTTTTAGTTGTTTTAATACTACAGTTGATTGCTTCTGTTGTCCTCATTTGTAAGTCGCTTTGGATAAAAGTGTCTGATAAATGACTAAATAAATCAAATGAATTGTCATTGTTTCTTACAGGAATCATCATGCAACACCAGGAGCATCACATCATGTTCATGGACTTCTGTGAGGACAGACACTATCTGCTGGAGGACGATGTGAGCGTTTCAGATCCATACAGATTCAGACTGTAAAATCATTTTGATTCTTGTATCCAGACCTTTGACTGTTAGTATAACTTCACATTCTGACTCAGAACTGCCCAGTTAAACAGATGGAGACCGTCTGATTTACTTTTTATGCTTAGCAGAAGTATTTATCTAAAGCGGCTTATAAGTGAGGAAAACCATGGGCAATTTGTCATAATAAGCGCCAATAATATTTGCAGTACGTAAAATAATTATCTATACACAGATATTTACATTTAGTCATTTAGCAGACACTTTTATCCAAAGCGACTTACAAATGAGGACAATAAAAACAGTCAAAACTAACAAAAGAGCAACAATATATAAGTGCAAATGACAAGTCTCGGTTAGCCTAACACAGTACGTTTGTTTTTTTGTTGTTGTTTTTTTATTTAAAAAAAATTAAAAAGAAGATAAAGTAGAATTAAAATAGAATAGAAAGTGTTAGAGATAGAGGGCCAAATAAAGGTGGAACAGATGCGTTTTTAGTCGTTTCTTGAAGATGGTTAATGTTAATATAGATATATATTTATATATTATATTTAGAGTTTTTAACTTAATATTTCAATGTATGTACATGGTTCTCTGATATCAGTTAATGACATGCAGGAAAAAAAAAATTATCAAATCTTTTTTTTTTTAGAAAGTGTTTTACTTATTTATCTTTTTTTATTGTTTAATTCTGTAATATGTTTTCATCAGCCCTGTCCTATGGGTTTTTAAACAAAGGAAATGTGAATAAGTTATGGAAGTTGTAATTTTTGGGTGAGCTATTCCTTTAAATACACTAGAGAGATTGAAACATTTTTGTCAGGCAAACCCAAAATATTTATTTGAATTCATTAATATTTATTTTAAGAGTTTTTAACGTAATATTTCAAGTAATGGTTCTCTGATAGCGGTTAATGATATGAAGGGTAACAACTAAATTATTTAATCTTTTTTATTTTTCAGAAAATATTTTATTTATTTGTTTATAATTCATTTACATTTTTATCAATAATTAATCATTAACTTTTCATCAACCCTCTGCTATGGGTTTGAAACTGTTTTTGAATTAATATTTCAATAACAGCACTTTTGCATGTTCACGGTTAATGACGAGCTGGTAAACAAATAAATGATTTAATCTTTTTTAAGAAAGTGTCTAATTAATTAAATAATTGTTTTAATTTATTTAGCATTTTTATGATTGAATTCATTCTTTTTTAGAAGGTGTTTAATTTTGATTTTATTTATTTAATTTTTAAGTTATTTACTCTTTTTTTTTTAGAAAGTTTTATTTATTTAAGCTATTATTTTTATTATTTATTATTTTTATGATTTAATTATCTTTTCAACCCGTTGCGGCCCTGTCCTATTAAGCAACAACATGAGAGTAAATGAATTTGGGCTGAACTATTGTTTTAAATTGACTAGTGAGAGTGTGAAAGGTAGTTTTTCTAAAAGTTCAATGAGCCCATAGTTGAAGAGACACTCATAAACATACATACAGATTTCAAACTTTTGTTCTTTAAAATTAGTACTTTTTAATATAAATCTTCTATTGAGGGTCATGGAATGAATGGATGTGATTTGTGGAGTTTTTCAGGGGTATGACAGCAGTCGTGGGTGGGGGAGTGAGGGGTAATTTTAACTATGAGCAAGAGCTTTAGAGAGAGAGAGAGAGGCTGTGCCGTACGGGTGAGCGGCGGGGTCCGTTAGCAGGGCTTTTCTTTGCGTTCGGGGATCTTGGCTCGCAGCCCAGCTGGCGTTTTTGTAATCAAGGCATGATTCAGGACTCCATGCGCTTCTTCCCCGAGCCGCGTCGGCTGCCTGCCGTTTGGAAGGGTCCCAGATTTCCCTGCTGACATGAACAGAGCTGTGAGTGCCACTGTTTCTCATTCTTCCACTAGCTTTTTCTCACTCCCACTCTTTCGTACACATCTTTGCTCTTCTCCGGATCCCGCTCGTTTCTTTTGCAGCAGTCTGGATGAGGATGGTAGCTGCAACTAAGCTTGCCGTCAGATGTGCGTTTGTCTTACGCTCCCCAGAAGAACGAGGCCTGGGTTTGGGTACGAGAGCGTCCGTCAGCTGACAGCTAGAGCCGCTGTGTTGGGCTATTTGACATGTGATCGTACGGATGAGTGGGAAGCGCAGGAAGCGGCCGCTGGAATGTTCCCTGTCCTTTTGCGGCACTGATGATTCACGTTGACTCGTGTTGCGCTGGATTTTCCTCTGTGTGTTTGTACCTCTGCGAGGTTTGTTTTGGTCCCCTGACAACCGAAGTGTCTGTGAGTTTTGTGCGCACTTCCCTTCGAAACGTAATCGCTTAAGATGCTTTTTAAAAAGGGATCGTTCAGCCGAGTTCATTTAATCGTATGCGACTCTCATTTTTGCGTTGAACACAAAAGGAGATATTTTGAAGAATGCTTAACGGAATTGTTCAGCCAAAATGGTAATTTGCTGAGAATGTCTTCACCCTCAGGCCAGACAAGATTAGGATGAGTTTGTTTCTTCATCAGATTTGGAGAAATGTAGCATTGCATCAGTGTCTCAGCAATGGATGCTCTGCAGTGAATGGGTGCCGTCAGAATGAGAGTCCAAACAGCTGATAAAAACATCACAATAATCCACACACCTCCAGTCCATCAGTTAACATCTGGAGAAGACAAAAGCTGAAACAAATCCAGCATTAAGATGTTTTTAACTAAAATATGAGTCCATAATCCATAATAACGCTTCCTCCAGTGAAAAAGTGGTCTGGTCTGAATCAGGAGAGAAATCTGCACAGATCAAGCACCGTTTAAACAGCTCTAAACAAATATGTGGCTGGATTTTGATGTGAGAGACAACAGGAGATGCACTTTTTCACTGGAGGAAGCGTTATTATGGATTATGGTATTTTAGCTGGAAGTACCAGTTTGAAGTTAAAAATGTCTTGATGGATTAGTTTCATCTTTTGTCTTCTCCAGATGTTAACTGATGGACTGGAGTGCTGTGGATTACTTGTGGATTATTGTGATGTTTTTATCAGCTGTTTGGACTCTCATTCTGACGGCACCCATTCACTGCAGAGCATCCATTGCTGAGACACTGATGCAAGGCTACATTTCTCCAAATCTGGTGAAGAAACAAACTCATCCTAATCTTGTCTAGCCTGAGGGTGAGCACATTTTCAGCAAATTTAAATTTTTGGGTGAACTATTCCTTTAAGTCTTGTTTTCCATGCAATAAACATAGATAAGATGCATTTATACTTCTTCTTACAGTGTCCTGCAATTCATTTTAAAAGTCATCTGAAGTCCTATGATGCTTTATGAGAGGAACAGACTGAAATTTAAGTGGTTATTCACTGAAAATCCCTTTTGCTGTAGCTCCTAAATCATATTCTGCAAATAATGACTTATACTCCAGAGAACAATCACACGGCTTCAGGGTGGTGCTTTTATGGTGCTTCTCTGTCAATTTTTGCAGCTTTTCAGTAAAAATCACCATCCACTTTCACATTTCTTGCTTTCATGTTCCACAGAAAAAAAGCAAGTCAAATGGGTTTGAAACAACATGTGTGAGTAAATGATGACTGGTTGTTTATTATGGTCAGCTCCCACAATAAACATTTGAATTATTAGACTGCATGTTTTTCTTTCTCCCAGACATCTTGGTCTGGTCCCACATAATATGTCAATATGTCTCAGTGTGCTTAGTGAAACAGGAATGCTGGGAATCCTAACAAAGTTAAGATGTTTGGTGTTGTCTGAAGCAGGACTTATTCTGCTGATATTAACCAATCAGAATCCCTTAATAAATCACATTGCAATGAGTGTGAATCTGTTTCTGGGCTCATATATTAGAATGTTATGTTTTGATTGTTAAAGTACGTCTATGTAGTGCTTCAGACTTTTTAATGTAGAAAAAGCAAGAAAATTCCTATTTGCAGATATTTAGAGAGGCTGATAAAATGCTGATGCACATTTGAATGACAGCAAAAATATGAACAAAATAGCTGATTTTAAACAAACACTTACAGTATTTTGCACTCAGAATTTGAAAACAGAACTTGCACAGTTTGAAATATTCATTACTTTTCTTATTGTTTTGCATGCTTGTAGCACATCATCCATCTGTTGTGTGCTGTCACTTTAAAAGCGTGCAAACACTCAAGTGCAGCCGCTGCGTGGGTTTTTTTCAGTGGCTTTGCATGAGTGTTGAGTCATTGTATTTCACAAAGAATCTCTTCACGTGAACGGCAGCTTTATCTTCCTCTTCTGCTTCAGACAGATGAGGTTAAATGTCAGTCTGAGAGGTGGAGTTTAGCTTATTGTGAGTATTTATTAACTATTTATTGTAATGCTCTGGTTTGGCCTTGAAATACAGAGTTAGAGAGCTGGAATTGGAGTTCGACTCAGTAAAATGTGTGTTATTTGAGCTGTGCAGTGACTAAATGGTCCTTTTGGTGATGTAACTGAGCACTAGTAATAGAGATGCTTGTTTTAACAACCCAAAATATTATTTTGTCTTTTGTTAGAGGATGCCAGCCGTGAGTCTGTGATCTGCAGCGGTTTGCTGGGATAAAAGCATCTTTCGACCTCGAGGAATCTCTGTTTTGAGCTGAAATCTGACTCTATTCTCTCTCAAATCTCTGCAAGCTTCTTCAGATCCAAATTTACTCCGTGTGGGAGTCGCGCTGGCCTGGAGTCAGTCGGGTTATCGCACCGTAGCGCTGCTGCAGGCGCTCCAGCTTTCATTGTCTCAAATAATCCACAGATACAGGGAGATCTTGACGTTCGGTCCGATGCCTGGTTTACTGACACAGAGAATAGGATGCTGTGCTAAACGTTTCTCTTCAGCTGCGCGGTGAAGTATTCGTTCCCCCGGTGCGTCCAGCATGTGCCCTTTTGCCAACTCCGCAGCCATTTAAAGAAGCTGCAGCAGTTCAGCGTGCTGTGATTGTGCTGCTGCTGCGTCAGACACATTACAACGTTCATGCAGGCCGAGCTGCACAAATAAAGCAGCTCTTTCTAAGGCCTAAGTTTGTGGCTGTGCATTTAAACTGCTATGTAAACATGATTGTGATATTAGAAATGTTTATTTGTATATTTAGGGCCTTAGTTTTTCACAAATTGAGTTTTTTTCCCCCTTTTGTTTCCATTTTTTGTTGTTTTAATTTTTCTGGTTTCGTTTTTTTTATGGATTTAGTTTTTTTGTATGTATGTATTTGCATTTTTCCATTCATTTTTCTGGATTCTCCTCCCCCCCCCCTATTTATTACAACGTTCATGCAGGCCGAGCTGCACAAATAAAGCAGCTCTTTCTAAGGCCTAAGTTTGTGGCTGTGCATTTAAACTGCTATGTAAACATGATTGTGATATTAGAAATGTTTATTTGTATATTTAGGGCCTTAGTTTTTCACAAATTGAGTTTTTTTCCCCCTTTTGTTTCCATTTTTTGTTGTTTTAATTTTTCTGGATTCGGGGTTTTTTGTTTTTTGTTTTCTTTTCTGGATTTCGTTTCTTTTGTATGTATGTATTTGTATTTTTCCATTCATTTTTCTGGATTCTCCTCCCCCCCCTTTATTTTGTTTCCATTTTTTGTTGTTGTTTTTTCCTGGATTTAGTTTTTTTGTATGTATTTATTTATTTATTGCATTTTTTTTTCCATTAATTTTTCTGGATTCTCCTTTTTTCCTGATTAAATTTTTCTGGATTGCATTTTAACGTTTAAATTTACTTTTTTTTTTTTTTTGGTAATCAAAAAGCATTTCTAATTAATTTAAATAATGAAACTCATACAATTTAACAGCATTTTTTTTTAAGTTAAATTTTTTCCAGAATTCAGAATCCTATGAAATCTGTTTTATTTTTCTGTTTTCAGCAATAAATATTAGTATTGTGATTTTTACAGTTATATAAAATTACTATATTATGTTTCTTTATATTATAGTTAATGTATACGTATTATAGTTAATTTTCTTTATTATTATTATTAATTATTTTTATTATGTTATTATTTTTATTTTACGATAGAATATTGCAATAGTTATATTTTTTGTTTAGTTTTTTTATATTTTTATTTAGTAGTACTACTACTAATAATAATAATAAAAACAACAAACAACAACAGTAAAAATTATTATTGTTATATTTTATAGTCAAAACCTTGAGTTTATTGAGTGTGTTTTGAGTGACAGTCTTTGAAATCATGGTCACATGTGAAAGTCAGACATCTTGAAACAGCTGACGGCACGAGGAGTTTAATGCGCTGAGATCATGTTGCCGCTCGTAGCAGCTGATGCTAATAATGGCGCATTCGTGTGCAGTTAGATGCACAAATGCATGCGGTGTTAAAGAAACTTTTCAATTGACTGGTGTGCAACTACTTATATGCCATTGTATTTCAGTTTCCGTCCTGGACTTTATCTTCTGGGTCTCTGGCATTTTATAGACATTTACATAATATAAATACAGCTTTATTTTGTTAGATTTGGATTATGTAATTCTCTTATTTTTGCTCCAGACTGTTCAAATGTCTCCTCCACAAGTGGGCAAGGAATATGTGCAAGACCATTACGCTGCTCTTTGTGTAGAAAAAGAGTTTAATTTTCTTGCGAGACGCAGTAAATAACAGAAACCCTGCTGGCAGATATAATCTATGCGATGTTGTACAGATTGTTCGGATTATTGTGTTTGTGTATGTGATGTTGACATGTTCATTAACTGTTCAGAGTCCCACAGAAATGATGATGATGATGAAGAAGGAACACAAGGACGCAGAGCTGGATAAAAAGATCGAGGCCTTACGGAAGAAAAATGAAGCACTTATGAAACGCTACCAGGTGAAAACCTTGAACTTACACATTTAAAATCTGTCAAAAAACACTTAAGTTTGTAAACAAAACATTTAAAGTCACGGAACCTCATTCAGAAATCATTTATGTATTTATTGTGAAAAATAAAATGTTAAAAGATCAAAGATTCCACAGAAAAAGCACTGTGTGTGTTTGCCTTGCTGAGTTTTGTGATGTTCTGCAGGAAGTGGAGGAGGATAAAAAGCGGGCGGAGCAGGAAGGGATGTCACTCCACAGCAGGAAGGGAAAGACTGATGATCTGACCATCACCATCAACAAGTCCTCCAACGTGAGCTGCTTTATTCCTGCACAGACAAATACAAATGCCAGAGACATTTTAATGGTTTTATATATA